CATGTCTATATATATTTATTATCACTTATAGATTCTAAAATTTCTAATTAAATAAAAACGAAAAATAAGTCAACAGATAACTAAAAATAGTAGATATAAAACTATTTGAATATTTAAAATTATATCAATAAATATATTTGATTATGAGCTTAGAATAACGATAAAATTTTATATATTTAATTTCAAAAATTGAAAATATGTAAAATAAATATACATATAAGAACAAATGAACAAAAATATAAAAGACATAAAAAACAAATTAAATAATACTGATGTCAAACAATTGTTAAGAGGTTGTTGATTTAAAGAGAAAGAATATATATTATTTTACTAAAAGGATATTAAATCATTTCACTAAAGATGAGATAATAAAATGAAACTTATTTTTAATAAGGTTTCCTACTTGTTTAGTAAGACCATCCTAAACAAGTGAAAATTCTTCCTAAATTTATTTTTAGAAAAGTTCTCTACTTATTTAGGAATGTGTTTAGAAAGACCTTCTTAAACAAGTGAAAATCCTTCCTAAATTTATTTCTAGGAAGGTTTCCAATTTGTTTAGAAACGTATTTAGGAAGACTTTCCTAAACAAATGAAGATCTTTCCTAAACATTTTTTAAGAAAGTTTCTTACTTGTTCATGAATGTGTTTAGAAATGTCATCCTAAACAAGTGAAAATCCTTCCTAAACTTATTTCTTAGAAGGTTTCCTATTTGTTTAGGAAGGTGTTTATGAAGCCTTTCCTAAACAAGTGAAATTCTTTTCTAAATTTTTTTTAAGAAGGTTTTTTAATTGTTTAGGAAGGTTTTCCTAAACAAGTGAAAATTCTTCTTAAACAAGTGAAAATCCTTCATAAACTTACTTTTAAAAAGGTTTTCTATTTGTTTAGTAAGACCTTCCTAAACAATGAAAAAATTTTCTTATAGTTTTTTCAAGAAAATTTCCTATTTATTTAAAAAAGTGTTTAGAAAGATCTTGAAAATCCTTCTTAAATTTTTTTTTATGTAAGTTTTTACTTGTGGAATTAGAATGATTATCCTTTTGTTTATAGACCACATGTACGTATAATCCCGATTCCATTGACTATATGGGTTTTATTTTGCGTATGAAGTTTGATTATTATTTCAGTCACACACACACTTGACACAATATAAAAGGCATTTTAGTTAGTTACAAGAGTTTTTCTAGAATAAATAATTGGATAAGGTTCACAAATAATGTATAAGAGATATGATCGTCCAAGTGTGTCGGCATACAATAATATGATCTTTTTTTTTTTTTTTTAAGAATAATATGATATTGTTACGTGATCGTATCTATGTATCATTATTTGGTCGTTGTCGTTTTATACATTCAACATTTGATTTGATATCGTGTAACCAAAATCAATTACCATAATTTTGAAACCTTTATACGACGAAGTCACGAACTCAGTACCAAACAAGATTTCGGACAAATATATATATATTTCATTTCAGACTCGAATCAGATGCTGAAATCTCATAATGCGATTCGAGATTTAAAACAAAACATGGTACGCTAATTTTGGTGCTTTGTTCAAGGATTTATGGTAGGAGCCTTTTTGTTTTATGTAAGTAATTAAGAACATGGTATGGTGTTAGTGTTTTGGGGTAATTACAAAAATGCCACTTTTTGTATGCATATTTGCAAGAATGTCATTTAAGGGTGTCCATTTACAAAAATGCCACT